CTCCGGGAGCGGGAGCGGTGGGCGCTGAGCATGGGCAACGGAGCATCTGAGCATCGCCTTCGCTCGGACGTCCATTCCTCGTGCATTTTGTCGGCTTCGCGCGTGTATGTGTTCGCCAGATGGCCTCAGATGCTCCTCGATGGTCCTCGCCGAAGAAAAAACACACACACACACACGTCCGAGCGATGCCAAGGGGCGCCGCCCCCGGCTCAGCGCCAAGCTTGGGCGGGGAGGGGAAGGGGCTTATGGGAGACGTACAAGACGTAAAAGTCAACGACAGCAAACGTCGCAAATGAAAGGATCACCGCCGCCCGTCCTCCAAACTAGCGCGCCGCCCCCGGCTCAGCGCTGAGCTTGGGCGGGGAAGGGAGGGGGCTGATGGGGACGTGAATGACATAAAGGTCAACGACAGCAAACGTCGCAAATGGAAGGATCACTGCCGCCCATCCTCCAAATGGCTCCTCTGGAGCCACTTGGGGCAGGCCCTCTTTGGATGAGAAGGAGGCCCCCTCTTTGCCCTAGCCAGAGCCTGGCTCCCTCTGGGCGTGGAAGCAACACATTGGGAAAGCGGGGGAAGGAAGGAGAAGGGAGGGAGGGGGGAGAGGAAGCAGCTGGGTGGGGGCGGGAAGAGAGGACGGAGAGGGAGGAGGGCGAGCAGAGCAGGAGCAAGAGCAGGTGCAGGAGCGGGATGAGCGGGAAGAGCAGGAGGACTAGGGGAAGGCGGAGGGTATAGTAAAGAAACGGAGCGACAACTACTAGGAAGAGCTCGGATCCAGAAAAGAGGCCCGTGCTGGGACGAGAGCGCCAAGCTGAACGATGGGAGCAAAACACCGATCCTAAAATGAGGCCCACGGTGCACTGGGACCACCAGCTTGAACCACCGAGAACGTTCCGACTGGAAAAAGCATGGGAAGCACCAAATACAGACGTCCTATAAAAACTATGCGGACAGGGCGGGACATCTTCCGGCCATAATCAGTGGAGAAGAGAGGGCAGTACTCATGGTGAGCTTCTGTAGAGGTGTTAGGTGCGCTCGCGCCATGTCTGACATGCTGACCCTCCCGCCCATCCCTCCCTGTCGCACTGATGCGTTTCTTTATCCGCCGGCGGGCGTCATAGTAATTAGGCCTGGAACCTCCAAAAAGGCACCATCGTGTCATGTGCAGTCAGAAAAGGCGAGCTGTGTAAACTGGCGGGGGAGGTGAGGGGAGTGGAGAGGGGGGAGGCGAGAGGGGGGAGAGAGGGGGGGGGAGAGGGCAGCAGGAGAGGGCAGAAGGCGGAGGGGAGAACTGCAAGCTGGGTGCACCCAGGCCTCTGGCATCAACCCCTCTCCCCTCGTCCCTTCTCACCTCGACGGATACCATGATGTCCGCCGCGTCGGGTGTTAAGTATGGCCTTGAGCCATGGCTGTACTTCCCTAAGCAACTCGTCTGCAAAAATGCTACATATGCCTCGGGGCACACGTGAGCTCCTCCGGATCCCGAAATCGCTGGCCCTCGCGGTCTCCCGCATATCGTCTCCCGCATGGCCTCCCATACGATTTCCCGCATGGTCTCCCGTGCAGTCGGGCCGCTGAAGAAGGAACCCTTTTCGCTGGGGAGGGGCTCAGTGTTCCTTGATTGCTTTACACTTTATCTTAGGTGTTCTGAGGTCTTCTATGGGAGATCGAAGTTTACCTTGTGGAATAAAGGGCCTCGTTCCTTATTTAGGGTTCATTGTGCGACTGTGTGGTCCCCCGCATGGGCGCGGCTTTTTTTTATGGTGTAGGGGTAACAGTGGCCCCCGGACTGTATCCCATTGCGGTCCCCAAGACCGTGGTCCCGAGGACTGTATCCGCAATGGGATACCGCCCAAGTCGCGCCCGTGCGGAGCCACCCATAGCCCCGGACCCATGCACAGGAAACAGCGGTGCCATGCGGGGATTCCACTGTGATCCCATACAGTATCCCTGATGCTGCATGGTATAACTAGAAGAAGAAGAAGAAGAAGAAGAAGAAGAAGGAGAAGAGAAACCAACAAAAAACGCCCTACACCTAAACTTCCGGCGCTCCGCGTGGATTTCTTCCTCCCCGGCGGCGCCTCCGGCGCCGCCCCTGCCGCGCTCCGTGGAGGAGGAGGAGGAGGAGGACGAGGAGGAGGGAGAAGGGAGGAGGAGAAGAGTTGGGAGGAGAAAACAGAAGAGGGGGAGGAGGAGGAGGAGGAGGAGAAGGAGGAGGAGGAGGAAGGAGGAGGAGAAGGAAGAGGAGGGGGGAGGAGGCAGAAGGAGGAGGAAGAGGAATGAAGAGGAGAAGTAGGAGGAGGAGGAGGAGGAGGAGGAGGAGGGGGAAGAAGAAGACGAAGAAGAAGAAGAAGAAGAGAAGGAGGCGGAACGGGGACGTGTTTCTGATTGGAGAAATGGTCCTGAACTGGAGCGGCGACAGCGAGGACCAGGTGATCCCGACAGGACGAGGCCCGATGCGCGAGCGCGCCGCGCAGCAAGCGGGCGATCGCCCGATCGATCCATGAGACGCACTCGCTCCACTCAGGCGTCGATGCTGCGTCGAACGCCCGTCAACCTGCGTCGAACTCGAGTCGAGCTAGAGTCGAGCCAGAGACGAGCTGGAGTCCAACGAGAGTTGGGAGGTCCCCCCAACGAACATCTCAAGAGGGGGAACGAAAGAGACGAAGGCCATGGCGAACCCAACGCACACAACTGATGCTGCAACAAGCCCTGCGGTCCCGAGAGCGACCTCCCTTCCAAGTAGCACGACTGCCTCTTGGCACTACGGCGAGCGCGCCCCTGGAGAGGTTGGTGGGCCTCATAGGCCTACAGGGCGGAGCCCGGCAAACTGGAACCCAAAAAGGCTGACAAACATTTGGGGGTGCATCTTGCATTCGGGGACGCAGTGGCCCAGGTCAGTGCAAACCCGGGTCAGCCGGGCTTTGCAAGATCCTGTAAGGCCCTGCAGGATCCTGCAGGACCCTGTACACTGACCCGGGTCAGTGCACCCCTGGCACCCTGATCATCGGATACTGGAATTTTCCAGTCGCGACCGAGGAGAACGGTCGCTACCGATTGTGCTTCAAATGTGGGTATCGGTCGCGACCGATCTGCTCCAAAATCGATCGCGACCCATCGGTCACGACCGATCGGTCGCGATCGGTGGCGACCAGTCGCGACCGATTCTGGGATCGGTCGCGATCAGTCGCGACCGACTTGGAGTGCTGCTCGGTCGCTACCGATCGCGACCGAGAAAACTCGGCATCCAACGATCAAGGCCCTGCAGGATCCTGCATGATCCGGCGCTCTGACTGAACCCCGTTTGCACCGACCCCCGTCTCTGGGTAGGCTCCCGGTTCATCTCCTGCCAGCTTCCGCCGGCCTTCCAGCGGCGGACCCCCCCCCCGTTTTGCCTCCGCGGGCTCCCGCCGCACCCTGCCGCCGGCTTCCGCCGACGAGGAGATGCGAACTCCGTCGCGCCCTCGGGGGGGAGGTCCTCTCTTCGGCGGCGAGCGAGGGGGGGAAGTGAGGAAGAGAAGGCCCTCTCAGAAGGCTCGGAAGTCCCCCAGCCTTCTGGCAAGAGCTCCAGGCGTTCTGCGAAGACACCGTGAACCTTTCAGGAGGCGCGAGGGCTTCTGAGAAGCCCCGCCACCTGCTGAGAGGGCCTTCTCCTTCTCCTTCTCGCTTCCCCCCCTCGCTCGCCGCCGATGTCTGGAACGCCCCCACACGGTGGAAAAACCCGGAGAGCTTTTGACATGTAAACCAACATCCTATGTTCAGGGCCGGCCGCACAGCGTTACAGGGCACGACCTGTACACGATGGAATCGCACGCCTCCTGTGCAGCTGGCAGAAGTTGTGAGGGCAGTGCACGGGGCGCCAGATTGAGAGCACGATGTTATGAAGACGGACCGCCCTCGACCCCTGCAGCTGTGCAGTGTTCAAGTTTTTTGCTACCTTCGGTTGCAAGAAAACCCTCACGCGAGACCCAGACTTGGGAGACGGGTCGCCATCCATATCTGAAGCTGCTGGGAATGCCAAGTTCTTAGGGCCGCAGAAAAAAAAGGACCCAGGGCCGCAGAAAAGAATTATGATAATCATAATCGCCGGGCCTCCACCCATGCAACTGTTATAATTCGTTCAAGACGACTGTGCCAAGCGCTAAAACTATGGCCACTTTGTGAAAACGGTCCCCCTCCACTCGTGTAGCTGATGGAAACGCTGGACACGAATGATCGCGCCCCTAGTGCGAGAGAAGACTTCGGAAACGACCCGACCTTGAACTTCCCAGCAAATGTAAACTTGATACGAGGATCCCAGTGTCCACAACTCCAGGGCGAGAACCACGTTTTGAAAGCGACTGGTGCCCCACCCGTGCAACTAGTAAAGAATCTGAGGCGAATGTGCGCGGCGACGTAACGAGAGACGCAACTTATAGACGGCCCGGCCTCCATCCACAGAAATATTTGAGCGTTACATGCACATGTACGCGGCGCGAAAGCGACAACCACATCTTCAGAACAACTCGCCGTCCACCCGTGCAGTGATTGGCAGAGGCGTTTCAAACGAACGCACGTAGCGGTAAGGCGAGGACACTGTTTGAAAATAACCCGCCCTCTGTCCATTTCACTACTGGAAGTTTCCAGCGTGAGCATCATATTCTGTGTGGGCGCTTCAAGCAAAACGCCCCGCCCGCTCTACCGACGCGCCGGGTGCTGCGACGAGGATGACTTATGCGCACGGAGGGTGGATGGAATGGGAGAAGAGGCAGGAGCGATGCTCACACGTTCTCTAAAATGTCGGCGTTGTGGTCTGCAAACTTCTCGAAACAACCATTGGAGATTGAGAGGTTTCCAAAGGCAGGGGGAGATCGGGAAAGGGGGAGGGTGAGCGCCCTCCAGCCGCGATTATTGACTGCCCCTCCGGCCAGCGCGACACGACAAGCCAAACATGTGGGCGTCCTTCGATCGCAATGACTGTCTCTCTCACGCACCGCGAGCTGGTGGCGTGCGGCCGGGTGCGTCACGGCTGGCCAAAGACGTTTTTATTGGCGTCCCTGGTCGCTCTGGCAACCTCTTCCTTAGCACCTTGTGCGGCCGAGCTCGCAGCGGAGGCTCCTTCCTGCGCCTTGGCGGCGGCCGTCTGAAATTCCTCCGACTGCCTCACGTCCTCCGCCACCTTCGACGCTTTCGCGACGGCCTCCTTGGACACATCCTGCGCCTTGGCGGCGGCCTTCTGGAACTCCTCCGATTGCATCACGTCCCCCGCCACCTTCGACGCTTTCGCGACTGCCTCCTTGGACATCTCCTGCGCTTTGGCGGCTCTCTTCTGGAACTCCTCCGACTGCATCACGTCCTCTGCCACCTTCGACGCTTTCGCGACTGCCTCCTTGGACATCTCCTGCGCTTTGGCGGCTCTCTTCTGGAACTCCTCCGACTGCATCACGTCCTCTGCCACCTTCGACGCTTTCGCGACTGCCTCCTTGGAGGCCAGGGAGGCGGATGAGAAAGGGTAGGGGCGGCGGGAGAGAGAGAGAGAGAGTGAAGGTGGAATAGGAGAGAACGAGGGAGAGGGAGAGAGAAGGAGAGAACAAACAAAAGGATCCGCCGGCCCCGTTGCGGGGCCACCAGGCAGCGAGGGTGAGGATTGCAGCTCCCTGTTCCAGTTGCAGTTTCCAGTTTCAACTGTTACAATCCTGGTTTCTGCTTCGTTACTGTTAGTTGTTGGTGAACGCACGAGGGGGGGAGCCCCAAATCAGCTCTTTCACGCATTGTCTGAATTCCTGGGGGGGCGTGGGACACATGGAAATATATTATACTCGTGTCCCCGAAGCCATAATCCATAGCAAACTACACCATGTTCGCGTCCCCGAGGCCATACACCCTCGTAAATTACACGGTGTTCGAGTCCCCGAAACCAAAACCCTGTGCAAATTACATAATATTGGCGCCACCGAAACCATAAACCCTAATAGATTACACAACAGTCGCGCCCCCGAAACCATACACCTATTTAAATTACGGAATACTCGCGCCCCCGAAACCATAAACCTTCAAACATGAATGAAGAGTCGCGTCCCAAGGCCCATAAACCCTTGCAAATTACACCATACTTGCGTCCCCGAGGCCACAAGCCCTGGCAAAGTACACCACATTCGCATCCCCGAGCCAGAAATCCTAGTAAAATATGCTATGAGAGCGCCCCTGAGGCCATAAACATTCGTAAGATACGCGATATGCGCGTACCCGAGGCCACAAACCCTTGTTAAGTATACGGTGTTCGCGTCCCCGGCACCATAAACCATTGCAAATTACTTAATATTCCCGCCACCGAAGCCGCAAACCCTTGTAGATTAATATTGGCCCTCGCGTGAAGCCCCGACATTGCTTCAGTTCGAGTAGAGGATCAACTACTGAACTGATTCACTCCAGAATTGATTCCCCCGCCGAGAACGCAAGAAAGGCAAAGGGTGCTCGTAGAGTTACGGGACATGATACGCATGTTTCGCAGGTTCGGTGGGAAAAAATCATGTTGGGGTAAATATGTTCTGAAACCGATCCTCTGCGTACTCGATCGGTGGGCATCGGGCGGGGTGCGGGGCAGCCTCTCCCCGGACGTTTCGTGGGGGCCATGGTGTCCCAGGAGGCCTCCAGGAGGCCCCACGGGAGGCCTCCAGAGGGGCCCCGTATTCCGAGGTGGGGGGACTTGCACACACATACACACACAAACACACACAAACACACACACACACACACACACACACACACACACACACACACGTTTTGCGTCGGCGGCTAGGCAGGGTAAGTGCGCTGGCGGAGGGCTACCTAAACGGGGGTACCGTTGTGGCGATTTGTGCCACCATGCAGGAGGGGAGGAAAGGCAGAGAGCGCGGCGGAAAAAGAGGGCGGGAGGGAAGCGGGCCGCTCAGGGGGACGGGCCACGCCCCGAGCCACACACACACACACACACACACATCCACCGCTCAGGGGATCAGTCTTCGGGGACCTCGGCAGGTGGTGGATACGGATATGTTGTCGGCCCCCCATGGGGCCAAAATGTGAGATTCCATATCCACCGCCCGCTGGGGTCCCAGGACGTCGGCTCCACAGGAAATGGATACGGATAAAAATCCCCGCCTCGCACGCATGTGCCGCCTGGTCGGCCCTCTCCGATGGGTACAGGGAGGCGGCCGTCCGTGCTTCTCCTCGGAATATGCGGGTTGAGGGATAACTACGGTTAGGTCGGGACATGTCCTCCTACAGGCGGGTTCTGGAGAAAAAATCACAAGTAGCCAAACGTAGTGCAAGAAATCGTCCCACAACTATGCTTGTACCATTTTTGAATATTCCTCCTGCAGAGGGACATGCCCGACTTAAAGCTGCGGCACGTTCGTGCCGTGAAAATATAGAGATTTACTTCCGACGCCGCGTGGGTCGTTCAACCTTGAGCGATCAAGCCTTCCCGGCAGCGCATCGGGGATCTTCTGACCCGGGTCAATCCAGACCCTGGTCAGTCAGGCCTTGCAGAATCCTGAAAGATCCTGCAAGATCCTGCACCCAACCCCGGGCCAATGCGAAGAATCCTGCGGGATCCTGCAGGGTCCTGCACCCAAACCCGGGTCAGTGCGCCCCTGGCCCTGCAGGATCTTGTAAGATCCCGCGCTCTGGCTGACCCCCGTTTGCCCTGACCCCCGTTGCAAGCCTTCCCGGCAGCGCAGAGCGCTCGATATCCACCGGCGCTTGAAATGGCGGCGATCCGCCTTGAACGCCCGCGCGCGCTGGGGGCGCCGCCGCGTCAACGCGGCGCGAGCCCACCTGTCTGCTTAACGGTTGTGGATACCACGGCAATGGACACCATAAGAATCCGATCATTGACTTACACATGTGTTTAACGTGTTTGACAGTGTTCAAAAGCGTTTAAAACATGTGTTTTATATGTTTACAAACATGTTGAACACATGGTTTAGAAATCTGGGAATTATTTGGCAACATGCTTCCTCGCCATTGATTGTCCTCCACAGCTTCATGGGCCGTCTGGCTTTCGGGTCACACCTCGGGTCTCTGGCGCCCGTTCGGGACGATCCGGGCAGCCCCGAACGCTCTCGGCCAAGTGCAGCTGCTGGAGCGGATCCTGGGGCTGGAAGACCGCCGAGGACCGAAGAAAGCAACCGAAAACCTCGAACCTCGAACCCCTGCCCGCCAACGCGCTAGCGCAGCCGAGCTCTCGTCCCGCCGCTCCTGGCCCAAGCCCTTGGCCTTCTCGAGCCCTTGCCTGACAGCATCCGAGTCCTGCAGATCATGCGCCGCGCGCTGCGCCTTCTCGGCGTACTCCTCTGGGATGAGGAGGAGGAGGAGGAGCAGGAGGAGGAGGAGAAGGAGGAGCAGGAGGAGGAAGGGGAGGGAGGAGGAGGAGGGAGGAGGAGAAGGAGAAGGAGGAGGAGGAGGAGGAGGAGG